AAAAAAAAAAAAGACCATACCCTTTTATGTAATGATGTTTACTTTGAATTTATATTAGTTCACACAAACACTCCATCCATGCTTTTGTTCCGGCCCTCCGGTCCAGTTTAAGAACCCATTGTGGCCCTCGAGTCAAAAAGTTTGCCCAGCCCTGGTTTTGACAATCAAAAAAGTCTCCAGATGTTGCCCGATGTCCACTTGGGGGTAAAGTCACCCCCAGTTGAGAACTGCTGGTCTAGGGATTAGCCTGGGCATCAAAATATTTCCAGACTCCAGGGAGATTCTAACCTGCAGTCAAGATTGAGTTCTAGAGTGTGCTGCTTTTTCAATTTAAATTTGTACACGAATCACGTGGGGATCTTGATAAAATGCAGATTCTGACTCCATAGGTGTATGCTGGGCCCAAGATTCTGCATTCCTAACTTGCTTTTGGGTAATGCCAATGGGTTCTTAATCCATTCACTGTGTAGCAAGGAAATAGGCTTTGCAGCTTGCCTAAGGGCTGTACTTACACTTGGTATTTTCACTTGGGTACTCCCAACTACCTTACTCCAATTGCCGTCAGAGAAAAATGGTTATTGGTGCTCATTGAAACAGGATACCTATATTCTCCACAGTAGGCAAACATGCCAGAAAACATGGTAGCGGAGAAATTACTCCGAGTTAATTATTCACTTCTTAGGGAACAGTGTGCCACAAACTACATATTGAATTTCACCAGGGTAGAAAGTGCCAGCAGATTAGGGGAAAACTTCCCTACAGTTTGCTGCCTGCAGTTGCCAAGGAAGAAAGCCAAACAATGCCTTGAGCTGCCAGCCTTTTTCAATAATACACTTCACGTTGCCAGTCGGCAGAAAGGCTGTGAGTGGGACCAAGATTTCCCCCTGCTGCTCAAGCCCACCTTCAGCATCCCTCCCGCATGTAAACGTTCACAGCTTTAACACGTGTCACAGGGGTTAAACAAATGGGTTGAGAGAGTAGATTTTCAGTTTGAAGAGGGATTTCAGGAAGTCAATTCTAGTCCCTACAGGGCAGAGGTCAATCTACAACTGAGTCAAGACGGACTAGCCTTCTGGAATTTACACAGAATGTGGAAAGGTTACATCTTCCTGCACGCACAATACAGGGATGCAGAGGGTTTGTACAACTCTGTTCTGCGTTGGCTTTTGTCCAAGAGAAATGCTCTCGTTTCATTTTGGTGGTATTTGTTTGTACCAAAATCACTCCATAAGTCATTTCTCTTTCACCTGTAAATGTTACAAGGCACGTGACAATGCTAGTGGCTAAGGGATCTTCTGAGCGTACTATTTAAATCGTACTGACTCCAAAGAAGAAAAAGGCATCTCGGTGTCTGGGGATCTACAGTGAAGTACAAACCTATCTATGAGTCCTCTGGGAGGCTCAATGTGTGACATGCAACACCACTGTACTTGGCACCCAAAAGAGAAGGGGGATCGCTTCTCGGCCTTTTGGCTAAGATCAAGTGTAGTATCAAAAGAGAAGGGGGGGGCGTATAATTTTGACTATTAACTGTCCAGAGAGATAATTCTAATTAATTTTAGAGAGTTTTTGAATTTAGAAACTGTAAAGATTTCTTATCTTCTACTTTTCTGCACGTCCCTTAGAGAAAATTCTAAACAAATTTAAGTACATGGACACGACTTTATTTTGTATAGATCTGCTCTGAAACTCATATCTACTTCCTTACTATGGAGAAGGGGATTGACAGTGAGAACAAAATCTCAAGTTCTCATTTACCACTTTTTTTTTTTTTAGAAATCTTATACCCAATCAGACTTGAGAATTGGCTCCTGGCTGCCTTCCTCTTGACTATACAGAGGTGGGCAAAAGTAGGTTTACAGTTGTGACTATGCAAAACACAGAGTTTATTCTTGTATTATTAT